AGGTAATTGTTCGTGAGATTGAGTAGATGAATTTTCATTATCCATTTGCATGATTTCAAGAAAATTTGAGAAAGTTATGGCTTGAAAATGGTGGAAGCCTGGGTTTGTTCGTTGCAATGAGGAAGAAGGAGGCTTTTTTTCATATTCGATATGGGTCGTTCACTCCCCTTGATCGCGACTGTGGTTGATATGGTGCCACGTGGCGCTTATTTTTTTTATTTGACAAGCCATCTTTTGGGCCCCTTGTATTTTGGGCCTAGACTGTTTTCCTCTTTGCACACCCATTTTTCAGTTTTTTTTTATTTGTATTTATTATTTTCCTTTTAGAATTGGGGCCTTAAGCCCATTTATTTTATTTTTTTACACTCTTGTATTGATAGTGCACCCCCTCTCTTTTATTATTTCTTTTATTTTTGGGTTAATACCTAATTTTCCCTACCATATAGGTTATTTTCGAAAAATCCCCCATATAAAAAATTTTTTGATGAAATTCCATAACGTTTGAAGATTCTCTCACTTTTGACCTTCATTGAGCCAATTCAACAAAAAAAATTGATGTGACACTATTTTTTTTTATATTTTCCCTTTAATCCTTATTCCACATGTGTATTTTAGTGTGTAAAATGACTTAAATGCCCCCAAGTAAAAAACAAAACACTTATCCAAAATCAGTCTTTGAGGAAAACCTAAAATTCCATAGAAACTCATCTTACTTGTTCCTTATTCCATGTTCGTAGTTCATAGTTTAACATTGAATACTTCAACATTGAAAACCAATCATTTCGTTTGCGTTTCTTTCATCTTCATTGTTTAAGTGTGAATCCTTGAGCCCTAAAACCCTTATTTCCCAGAGAAAAGTTCAATCACATTGAATAGTTGTAGTTTCATCTTCATGCTTCTTAAGTATTATTCTAGTTTACAAATTGTTGATGTTTGACAAAATGTTTGCTTATTCATTATGTGCAGAGGAAAACACAAAGGACCAAGGCCTCTTCAACTGTTGAGATTTTCATTCTGAGATTTTGACATTTTTATTATGAGATTTTCATTTTCGATAACGATGAGATTTTGAGATTTTCATTCTGAGATTTTCATTTTCATTCTTAGATTTTCATTTTAAGATTTTCATTAGTCGACTGAATAGGGAGATTTAGAACACAACTAATGATAACAATGAGATGAGGAAATGAAGAGAAACGAAAATGAAAAAGCAAGGCAAGCCTGGGAACGACTGCAAGAAACGAACATGAAAAAGGGAACAACGCAAGAAGAAGGAAATTGAAGTTAGGGTTCAATGCTTCACTCACTCTCTCTCAAATGTTTTGTTTTTATTTATTTGGGGTCATTTTGTGCACTGAAATACACATGTGAAATAAGGGTTAAATGGAAAATATAAAAAAACAGCGTCACATCGGCTTTTTTGATAAGTTAGTCTGATGAAGGGCAAAAGTGAGAGAATCTTCAAATGTTAGGGGATTTCATCAAACTTTTTTTACAGGGAGATTTTTCAAAAATTGCCTATATAGCAGGGGGCAAAATAAATATTAACCCATTATTTTTTATTGATTTTTTTAGTTTATTTTATTTATTTTCATTTATTGTTTTCCTTTTAAAATTAGGGTCTTAAGCCCCCTTTAGTTTTTTATTCTTTCACCTCTTGTTTTCAAAGTGCGCCCTCTCACTTTTACTATTTCTTTTGGTTTTTTAGTTTTTTTATTGTATTTTAGTTGATGCATAATTGTTAATTCAAAAGATAAAATAACCATTAAAATTAACCTTTTTAAATAAAATCAATCAAACATGTTTGATCAGCATCAAGTAATTTTATAATATTTTGTCACTCCTTCATCGAACACTTGATCAACATCAAGTATATTTTTAGCAAAACCACTTGACCATCAAATCAAAGTAATTAAATCGTATTTATTACAAACGCTAACTGAAACACTTGATCAAGATCAAGTCACTTTCCCGTGTAATTAAAAGTGTTTCCAAAATATTTTTTACAACAAAATCGGATGAAAAAAGACTAGTTAGATGTAATATCCATCCTAATCTCCGAATACTTGGATGTTAGTCGTAATAGCTTATCGTTTGAGTATTCGTCTACCCTTCAAAAACACAATAATTAAGCAAGTTTAGTTTGTTCCATATTGGATGAAAAGGGACTAATCGAACGTAATATCCATTCTAGTCCTCGAATATTTTAATGTTAGCCATAATAGCTTACTGTTCGAATACTTGTCATCTACCTAAAAATAACTTGAACCCATCCAACATACTTTTTCTGCCTCAGCGCGATGAAAACTATTTCATAAACGAATGGTACTTTATCTATTTCGATGTGAAACTCAAACTAACGCTTTATTCCTTCCATGTGCGAGTAAAAATCTATGTTGTCGCTCGAATACGATTAGAACACGACTTATGAGAATATGGATCATGTTCTGTCCATTCTAATGTGATAGACTCACAATGTTCCTTACTCCCGTGTTTGGTTATCAAGAAATGTTGTCCACTTAAATTTGATTGAGGCATAATTTGTGAGAATCCAGATTATGTTTTATTTATTTTAATGTGATGGACTCACAACATTCCCTACCCCTATGATTGGGTAGTAAGTAATATTTTCCGCTCGAATCTAATCTAAACATCTTTCGCTAAAATCGATCAACCCACAAATATTTTCTATCCAGAACTGTGTAGCTTTGAATTCTTCATTGCACTAAAGGATACGTAGGAGCGAGATTTAACGTCTCGTCAAACACGTTAATAAAAAAGCCTAAAAATTTCCCCTTTCTTTTATAAATACAACATAAAAATTAGAAGAAACCAAATAATTTAAGCTAACATTCTTATTTGCAAAACTAACTAAATGGTTCTCGTTGACTACAACGGATGCATGGGATGCTAGTACATTTTTCTCGCGTAACCGACTCCCGAATCCGATTTTGGTTGCGACGGCCATCTTTTTGTTCTTTAAGGGTTTTATCGATATTTTCTCTTTTCTTTTACAATAAATGAACTTCGGTGAAGACTCTATTATTATTTTAAATGTTCGTTAGCTCGGATGTTTTTTGCGCTGCGACACACGTGATAGAACAATAATAGCATTATTCATTTTACCTATATCAAGGATGAAGTTACGCTTATAGAGGGCTCACAATATCATTAAGCATGGGGTCTTAAACAATTCAAAAGCACTTTGGAAACTAACTTACATGTCACATTACATAAAATAATAGATCTAAATCTTTGATATTGCGAAAGTTATCCATTTTAAGTACCAATAACATAAGAGAGTCAGTTACATGGGAATCCATGTCACCATCATCAAAAATCTTCCTTACAAATCCAAATGTCATCTCCAACATCATCCTTAAAAAAAAAGGTTGGAACATGTCTAAACCTGGAGCTTTGTAAGACTTCATCCCCAAGAGGGTTTGGTGAACCTCATGTTCAATGATGGTGGTCGTGAGCACAGTTTTGTGTCTACAATTGAGAGAGGTAGAATTCATCATCTTTGGAGGTCAAAGCAAGACACCTTTTGTACAAAAAAAAAGGCTTTTAAAGAAATGTATAGCTTCCTTTTTAAGGATGTCACTATTAGTACACTACTCACCTGAAGGAATATTGAGATCATGAACTTGGTTTCTCTTTCTCCGTATGATTGCATGAGCATAAAAAATGAAGTAGTTTGACTCCCTAGTCAAATCCGTTTCTCTTTTAACTTCTGGCATCAAAGAGTCTCCTCTTGAAAATAATATATTTTCATATTTTTGAAGAAATTTATGTTGCAGGTTAAGAATGGAAGTTGAGTCTATATTTTTTCAAAGAACGTTGTATTTTATGAAGTCTAGTCTCGTACCTTTTTTCTCCTAGAAGATATTTCCAAACGTTTCCTAATTAAAAGTCAAGAATTCATCATTAACATTACTAAGAGAAATTGAAATGTTACCATGACTATCTTCCCGATATTCTTAACAATGGTGAGATAAACCCCATAAGTAGACCAAGATGTCTAAAAACGAAATGACATTCCCTCTCTAGTTGAAACCACATAACTACAACGCGCCAACATTGGATTATCATCAAATTAATAATAAACAAAAGATTCAATAATTATGACAAAATAAAATTGTCGGTATGTTTGACACGTGATTATGTCTATTTTATCTTTTGCTTTGTAAACTATCTCTCCATACTTTCGTCGACCTTTTCTTGATCTTGCAAGTTCAAATTCACAAAAAAATTAATTCGTTAACATCAGCTAAAGATTTAGATTAATATTTAAAGGTGAAAACCCTTAATTTAGAAATGTATCCATTGTAATTGATTATACTGAGGTTTGGCATATTATATAATACTTTACAACAAATATATGCCACTTTTGCACGATTGAAGGTGAAGAAGAGATGGGATAGAGACTTTGTAAAGGCAAGGCAAAACTAAAATCTGCGTTTGATTGTTAAAGCTATTCAAGTATAGATCCTTTTACGATTCCCTTAGTCATTTAAGAATTATAAATGATCATACATGTCTCCATTAGCATTAACAAAAGGAACTGGTGAGCCTAGATATCATCACATTGTTGAAGAATGTGAAGTTGCATATGGATTACAGTTTATGAGGTGAGTTGAAGAAATTGGTGATTTAAGCAGTAATAGTTTTCTTAGTTTTCTCGTTTATGTCGTAAAAATTCTTGAATAATTATACCACATTACATTTTTGTCATCATGTTTTTGCTCCATGATCTGAGCCATGGGGAGTTGAGCAAGCAGTCACTTATGCATCCTCATATCCGTCCGGGTGGCGCCCCGGTCCAAAAAATAAAATACAATCAATATATACAAGAGCAACTTCCAAAGAAAAAATTGTAAATAACCTAAAACTAGGCAGATCAAATCATGATATTGAAAAGAATATCGAGGAGATTAATTAAAAAGTTGAAAAAAGCAAACTGAGAATACTTCTATTGCCAAGTCATTCTTGTCTCATCTTTAGACCTCTTTAGGCTGGACCTGCTCAAAGTCGAAAAACTCAAACATCAGACGTCTCACATCACGTTTCCCATAAACAAGATACGAGAGCCCGTGAATAGCTTGATTAACAGCTGTTGTTGCTGGGTTTCTCCGTCTCCTGTTGCGCTCATAAGCGTCTTGGACCTTATCATCATACATAATAAACTTGTGAAGATGTTTGGCCCTCAAATATCTTCCACAATATTTGTTCATGAGAACTTGGCGATGTTTTTCTTGTAGCCACAACCCAGGAGCATCTAAATGTTTCATCAACAATCTTTCAGCCATCACCAAATCCTTAAGAGAATAAAAACAGCATTATTTACAAAGTATTCAATGAAGAAGAAAGTTATATACAATAAATAGAAGTTGAATAGTAAATACGGACAAGATTGCCTGCTCCCCTTTCCCCCGTCTCATCAGTAAAAACATGACATGTCAATTAAACTTAATATTTACACATTTACTTGGGCTTCTTCTTGCTCACATTAGGTTTCTCCTTCCACAAGTTTGGTAGACACTAAACTCTTTTTCTGTTTCGAACTCTCTCTCCCTCAGCATCCGCCTCACCACCTTGATGATATTATCTTTCTCATGTCTTTCAAAGTCAGACACTCCCAGGCTCCTATATCTTTTACTCTATATCAAGCCTCAAACATGGCTGCCCGCCTCTCTCATTTTCATCGATGAGTCTTTTGCTGTCACTTTAAACACACTAATGCCACTGCTCAAAGCCTCATATTCAGCAACTTCTAAAAAAATTTATTGAACTGTAAACTCAAAAACAAGCATTGCTTCCCGTATTTGCACAGCAGCTATTCTTCTGAGTTAAAATATCTCAGTTTTTTCATGCCCAGATCTAAGTGGAAATTCTGCATAATCCCGTCCCCCTCTTTCTCTTAACTTGTACTGCTTGCAACATAACATGGTTTGCATATTACAAGTAATACCTGCTGCAATCTATTTTTATCCAGGCTAGTTTTTAGAATAATGAAATAAATTACCATGAGTCCTAGTCCTCATTTCCTCACCCATCCTTTTTACCATTCAAGATTTGTGTAAATTCCAACAGAGCTAATTATCATATTGCTGATCAAAAAACAAGAGAAAACTAAAATATATGAAACGGTGATTTGTGAGTCAACTGTTTTTTCTGCCGTATGGACGTATGGTTGGCCATGTAGCAACCAGAAGGTCATATCAAAAAGAAAAAATTTAATCGGGGATATAGGAAAGGGGGCAGAAGATGATATATTCCATTTATAAATTTAGAGTCTTCCTGAAAGACTTTCCACACATGACGTAAATAGTCATATAGACAGCAGAAAGAATAGTACCTGTATCTTTTGGCCAACGTATTCCAATCTCTCAAAGCAAAATCTAGGATGCTCAAATTTAAACTTCGATGGATGCAGGAAAGAAAGCTGCAATTGGATAAGACATTCAACATCAGCAAACTTTCAAACACCTAACTCATAATTAATTACCCATTTTATATCTTCCAAAAAGAGTCTCAGAAGATCCAAGTTGACTTACGTATCAAATATGTTGACTGTTCCCTAATTAAACTATTAATACACTACTCAGGAAGTTCTAAAGCGGCACTGTGTTGTTGTGCAGTGAAATGTGCAAAGGTGTGAAAATGACATAAACCAATTACTCAACAGCTAAACCAGGTCAAAAGCAAAAACAAATAAATTTCCTAAATTTTCACACAAAAACGAGAAAGTATTAAGGTAGGTGTATGAAATTTTGACAAACAAAAATTTAAGATTTTTAACCCTCACTATCACTAAACATCTTTGACACCATTTAACACGAAGTCCAAGAAGGGATTATACGTAGAAGCATTGAGATTTGTTTTTGTTCATTTGTTCAGAAATATGTGAAAGATATGGCAGCAATACTCTAGCAAGAGAAGCCAGATTTGTGGTTTACATAGCCGGAAAGGAAGAAGTAAAAGAGAGGCAATAGTTGAGTTACCTGCAGTCCAAGTCCAAGCTCTACGTTCCTGGCTTCGGTAATTTCTGGAATTCTGTCTGACATTTCTAATGGATATCCAAGTGTTCTCATAACTTGGGGTCTACTATCATAATCCCATATATTTCCTCTGAACCGATGCATGCCAGGAGGAACACAAGCTCTAAACAGCCTTGGATGAGAAAACAGAGCATCTGCAGGAGGCTGAATGAAGAACAGTGAACATCATGTCGGCCTCAATATAATAATTTTCTATTGTAGGAAAGCATAAATGCATCAGAATTCATTCATTGTGCCACAAACATGGATGAATTAGCTACAGAATCAGATTAAACAAGTCTGACCTATTGGCAATATGCATAATAAATGGGTCTTGATGTGCTAATTTTTTAAATAAAAATATAAATAATACTCTGAACATATGATATTTATAGCTTGCCTTATAAGCAACAATATCTTGCCAGTTTAGTTTGCTTTCAAACTCAGCAGATACATAATCTACATCTTCAAGTTGTCTCCGCAACTTGGGCTGGCAATCCTCATCATCCGGATCCATTCCAAATACTTCAAAAAGAACACGATACACCTCCGGAAGACCAAAACAAAGATATATTGCCCCAAACAAAGCCCAAAATACCGACCTACAAATGAACAACAAATATGAAAACACGGCAAACAATTCATTACAGAAGTAGATTATGAGCAAAGACCAACTCAATTGTATACGATGATTCTACTACAACTTAACTACCCTAAAAGATATCATATGAATAGTTTAGAATTATACAAGTACACTCACATAATATCAAAATAATGAAGTAACACGAAAGAAACAGTTAGAACTTACTTGACAGGTCCCTCTCTATCCCTTCTCGGAATCCTATCCATATTATCAAAAGGAAATATCAAATTCTGCAAACTAGCAGCTTTAATCCACTTAGGCAAATTCTCCTTCCCAATCAACCCAAAAACCCTCTCCCTCATCGGCCCCGGCGACTCCCTCGGATACCTCTGCAAGAAAAATTCAGCGAATGCCAATTCAAGCACAAACTGCCCCAAAAAAACCAACCTCGAATGCCCAGACTTAACATGTTTCATTTTCGTTCTCTCGCAAGAAGGATGCTGAAACGCCAAATACAACAAAGTATCAAACTGTTTCGCTGGATTATCATTCTCTAACATCTCAGACGGCTCAAGTGAGTACCCGAGCGCTTGTTTCGCTTCGAGTAAATACTCGTCGATCCATAGTTTATCAGCATTGCTAAAGCGCGAGGATGGTAAACAAGAACTCAATAAAGGGAAAGAGTTGAGAGACAATTGTGGGCTATTGAGAAACCTTTCTGCTAGTTTTTTGTCATCTAGTGGGGGTTTTAATATGTATCTTCTTGAGGGGGATTTTGATTTTGGAGAAGTGATTTTTTTGCGTTCTGCGAGTTCTTTTAGAAGTCGTTGAGGGTTGTTTCTAGGGAATTCTTTTGTTGAGTCTATGCTAACAGCGAAAACGCGTAGGCTTTGAGGAGATTTGGAGTTTTTTATTAGAATTTGGATGGGGAATGGAGAGAAGGAGGATGAGAAAGAGAAGTTAGTTGGTGGGGACGACGATGGTTTTGGGGAGAGTACAAGTGAGGAAGAAAGTTCCATTGTTGTTGGAAGTTAAGGTGAGTGAAATGTTGGTTGTGGAAAGTGTTGTGAAGATTGATTTGTGGATTTTTGTATTGGTTTTGACACCATAGGTGAAGGGGTTTGGGGGTGTTTGTGTTGTAGTTGCAGGGTTTTGGACACTAACGGGGTTGGATAAGGTGAAGCAAAATGCCACACATGATACTTCTTACATATTACTCCCTTTATTCTCAACAAATTTCAACTTTTAGATTGATTAAATAATTGATGGATAGTTTAAATATATCATTTAATAAATATATTTAAAAATTTAAAATTTGCTTATAAACGAGAATAGAGGGAGTATATGAGAATTTCTCTTTCCACTCTATAGTCTAAAGAAATACTTATGTATTTTCTAAAATATGTTTTTGGAAATCGAAAATATATTTTCGGTGCGTATCTTTTTCTATTAAATGTTGTCTAGAAATCAGAAATATATTTTCGAAGTGAACCAGATATGTATTTTTGATTTCTGTGCAGACAAAATTAGAAAGACTTATGCTGACAGTGGATCTTTTGCGCATTGTTTCGCATTGAATATTGTGATACGGTGGGAGAATTGACTTGGGTTTTGCGTTTGTTTTCGCAAATGTTTCGGTTTAGCAAGAGTCACCACCGACTTTTTATTTTATCCTAAGGAAAGGTTAAAAAGCACAGGAAAAACCTTTGAGATGTTTTCTTGGGTTCGGGGAGTAGATTATAGAAAGGGAAGGTATTAGCACCCTTTCTATCCATGGTTATCCATGGGCTCTTAGTTACTTGCTTAGATCACTTGCCTTGCATTTTCAATTGTTTGAAATGGTGCTTTGTGTGTGTGTGGTTTTGAAAATGTTTTGAAAAAGATACCTTGTCTAGGCAACCATTGTAACAATTCTTCACTCGAATGTTTTACAATGGTGTTTGTCTTTTTGAAAAGATGTTTCAAATGTTTTTGAAAGTTTGTTTTTGAAAGTGTTGTGGAGTGTGTTTTGAAAAATGGCAAGGATTTGTTTTGCAAGTTGGTCAAGTAACCAAGAGCTATCTACCCTAAATTTCTCAAAGATCTTTCCTATGTTTTAACCCTTTTAACAGTATTGTTCCACCATTATATTTGGTGGACAATCTTGTGTTAGGATGTTAACGGGACGGACGCGGGTCATCGTTTAGACCATGAATGTAACAGTGTCAAGTGTTTTTGGCAACTTTTCCTTTAAGGGACTTGATCATTTTTTAGGCAACTTGAGAAAGCGTCATCGAGGGACTATGATCATTTGATTTGTTTTTGTTTTGCCAAAGACACTCAACATGCAACATGACCCATTTTTGAAGGCAACAAGTGGAGTAACCCTAAGGGTGCAAGTGTGCATTGTGTTGTCCATTTTCATGCATTTTTGTCTTTGTATTAGTCAAGCTATTTGTTATTTGATTTGCATACAAACCCTAAGTCTATCATGGCATAATTTGAAAGCTTTTAAATGTGGAAATTTAAAGTTCTAAATTATTACAACATAATTATGGGGATGGGGGTACAAATGTTTGAATGGGGGGATATTTAGCAAGAAATTAAATCTAAAACTATTACATCCATATTGAATATACAAATATCAAATTGTACAATATTCAAACAAATATAATAAATATGCAAAATGTATTATGCATAAAAAGGATTTTTTATGTATGTGAAAGTATTTTTCAATGTGAAATATAAACAAAAATAAAAAGGTCAATTTTTGAATATTTTCATGGTTTAGGGCAAAACCCTAGTTTTCAAATAAATAGTATTTATTTATTAATTATATACAATATTTATATATTAATTTATACAAAAATAAAAAAAGAAGTATATTGTAAAAAATGTATTTTTTAGTGTCATATATTAATAAAAATAAAAATGTATTATTTTCATATTTTTATCCTAAATATCTAATAAAATATACAAGTATTTATATATTATATATTAAATATACTAAATATATACAAGAATAAAATATTATTTACAAAAACGGTATATTTTAGAAAATGTTTTCAAAATGTAAATAAAAAATAATGACTGAAAATAAATATATTTTTGTATTATTTTTTAGTGTTTTAAATAAAAAGTATTATATTTATTTATATACATATGTTAAACAAAAACAAATAAATGCCAAATAAATGCAAAAAAAAATGAGGAAAAATATTTTTAATGTTTTTTCATGTTTGAATAAAAATATAAAATCAGAATCAAAAAGAAAAAATCAAAAATGATAAATATATCACACAATGGGTAAGGGGGGTGCAAATTGAAAAAGGGGGTGCAAAAAGCAGGACTGACTCAGGCCCAGCCCAAGCCAGTCATCTTCAACCTTCAGCATTGTTTGAACATCAAAAACATGCGCTTCTTGTACAACAGCTAACTCCTGATTCTTTGACTTTCAACAAAAACTCATAACACAAACATTATAGAGCATGAAGAGACGAATTCATACATATAAAACACTTGACCTAACTCTAAGAAATGAGGGAGAATTTCCTCATCCCCAATTCCTGACCTAATTTTTCTTCAATGTTCATGGCCAAAATTCTCACAGCATACTCAATATAAATGAAAAGTAAATACATGGATGGCTTCAGGGCTATGAGGAGAACATGTTTCATTCACAAACCTAAGCCTAACTCTTCCTATATTGAGAGATAGAAGTTCATGTTTTTACCTGTTTAAGCTTGAGTCGTGTACAACAATGGAGGTATCTTCAATGGAGTTTGAGCTTTGGTACAGCTTGCCTGAAGTCCAAGGATGCTTCTCCTATGCTTGGCTTGCTCTGAAACTGCCTGTATCGTGCTATGGAAGTCCACCTGCACAACTTGAAAGCAAAAATGGAAAACGATGTTAAGGATGTTACAGCTTGGATTTAATGCTTGTAATAGTTTGTGTGGATAATATAGAATGTGTTTGAACTGGTTTTAGCCAAAATGCACGAGTGGAATGGATAGTGGAAGTTAAGTTGCAGAACTTGCTCTGTTTCTGCAGCAAGAGGGTGTTTTTTTGTATGAGGAGGTATTGAGGATGAAGGAATCGTGTTTTAGGTCAGTTAGGGTGTGTGAAAGATGTTTGCAAAGTTTGCTTTGGCTGGTTGTTACAAGAATGAGAGATTGAGAGTTTTTGCAAGCTTTCTTCCTTTTGAAGTAAGAAGGTTCAAGTGGGGTTATAGGCCTGTACAAGGCTCTCAAGCATGCTGCAGCACTCTCTCTTAATCAGTGGGATTTGTCTACAAACTTGTGCCTCAAAGATCTGGCTTGTACCTCTTGGATATGGTATTTGACATAAAGTGCATCTTTTCCAAAATGGCAAATTTACTTTTTCCATTTAAAGATTAATTCTTTGTGTAATGACTAGATGCATAAAACAATGCTTAAACACAAAGGTTAGGCATTTAATTATTGAGTGTGAAGAGGTTTAGAGGCCTGCAAACTATCACAAGCCCTGCTGACTTGAAAATGCCAATGTTATGAACAAGCTTTGGCCATGAACAAAAAGTGAATTTTGCCCAACTTTGCAAATTCGATTCTCCCTAACCACAAGGGTGTTTGATGAATTCTTAGACAATTTGGAAAGCTTGGAATGTGTAATACAATCCATCTTTGTAATTCAAATTGAAAATCCAAGTGGAAGCATGTGAAAAATGGCCAAGAAGTTGGACAAAAATCCTGCCTAGAATAGGTTAAAATTTTTCTAAGTTAAAAATGTTTTGCACCCTTGTTCCAAAAATTATAACTTGAGCTACAAGCTTACTTTGAGAAAACTTTGTGAATCAAAGTTGTATATTTTGCAATGGACTACAACTTTCATGTTTTGAGTTTTGTTTGAATCCATTTGCATCTTGGTGAAAAAATGGGACAAAGTTAGGATAAAATAAGGAAATTTCATAACTTAGAAAATTTCTAAGTTATGAAATTTCTTCATTTTAAACCCTAATTTGCAATTTTGGGTTTCTTGATGAACAAGTTTTATAATTTGACATGTCTTGATGAAAATGAATCTTGGCACTTGATTTTGACCAAAAAGTCAAAGTTTGACTTTTCAGTATACAGTCAAATTTTGATCAGTTGACTGGAAAATTCATCTGTCAATCCTGTGCATTTGAGACCTTTTGAACTTGTTGAATGGATCAAGACAATTCCATTGAGTTCTTGAGTCCATATGTGAGCTTGGTTTGCCATTGGTTAGGTCAAACAGTCAAAAATTGCCTTTGTGCAGTCAAAACCCTAAAAATGACCATTTTGCCCTTTTGGTGATCTGATCAAATTTCTTGTGGAATTGTGATCCAAACTTGACCAAATGGTTCATATGAGTTCATTATGTTGATGTGGGTCAAATTTCATGAGGTTTGACTGTCAATTGGCCACAGTTGACTTTTTCCAAATACAATTGATTTCTAGGTCAACTGTCCAATTGACTGGGCAAAGATTGGAATCAAGGCTTGAAACTTGGTATGGATAAACTTGTGAGTCCATCATGAAGCATGAAAGTCACTTTGGGCATTTTAGGTCAAAACATCTTTGTGCAAACTCAAACCATAATTTGGGTCAATAGTGCAAGGAGGAGTCTTGAGCAGAGCAAACCCTAACTTGATCTTGAGCTCCAAGGGTCTTGTGGTGAGAAAATGTTGATGAAATGAGAGGGCAAATTTTGGGGTACAACAGTTGCCCCTGTTCAATCTTCTTGAACCTGAAGAGTTAGATTGGCAGGTTTGCCTTTCGCGTCTCGAAGGTAAAAGGAGATTGGACACTAGAGTGCCCTTAAATTTGCACTCGTCAAAGCATGGGTGCGAGAATGGGCTTGAAGATGCCATTTGGAGATGGGCTTAAAAGATGCCATCTGGAGGGGCGACAGAATCTTGTCGGGGATGGGCTTAAAGATGCCATCTGGAAATGGGCTTAGAGATGCCATCTGGAGAGGTGACAAAGGGATGGGCTTAGAGATGCAACTGGAAATTGCTGGTAGGAGGATGGGCTTAGAG